GAAAGGCTTGCTGAAGCTTGGTTGGGTTGGAGTTCGAGGGAGGGTGGAGGGGGTGGGGGTTTGTTGGGTAATAAGATGGAGCATGGAGTGTGCAACTTGCTGTATAACATTCTGTGTTGTGTTTTTTATTCCTGCTTGGTCATTTATTCCCGCTCGTGCCACCACTATCTCCCATTCCCAATGAGCGCATGTGAATATTGACTGGCACTCTCCCCTCCTCGTCCTAACCATGTGCCATCCTCCCCATCCTCTCCCCCCTGCTTCTAATGTTTCTCTCCTGAATACACCTCCTCCCCAACACACCTCCATGTGTGCATGCAGGCGGTGCACGCTCTGCGCCCGACAGCCTTTGCAATTGTTGACATTGACGCTAACTTCAACAGCCCCTTCTTCCTCTCGCGCTTCCGCGAAGCAGCCATGTTCTTCACCACCCTCCTCTCCTGCGTTGACGCCTCGGGCCTGCCGCGCTCCTCGCCGCGCCGCGCGCTCTTTGAGTCCTCCTACCTTGCTCGCGACATTGTCAATGTCATTGCCTGCGAAGGGCTCGACCGCATGGTTCGGCCCGAACGTATGGAGCAGTGGCAGACCCGGATGGAGAGGCTCGGGTTCTTTCCCCGCGCCGTGTCGCCGAACCTTGTAGACAAGATTTTGGACCTCGCACCGTTTCGGCTGGGAGGCAGGAGAAACTGGATGGGTGCTGGTGGTGGCAGGGGGCAGATGGGGTATGATGTGGTGGAGCAAGGGCACACAGTGCAGGTCACATGGAACGGGGAAAGGATCATTTGGGCTGGCCTCTGGTGTGCTGCGCCACAGGTGAATACAGCGAACTGCCGCCCTGTGGTCTTTTGAGGTACATTTTGTGTGTTTTCCCTTCTGTGTGTTTCTTTTGGGTTTTTTTTTTTTTCCTGCCCTGGTTGTGGGTATGCTTCACTGTGCCGGACCAGATCAGCTAATGGTTGGATGGCTCTCTGTTGCTGTTGTCGTTATTTCCTTCTTTTGATGCGCTTGTCCTTTTGTAAAGTTGACACTATTACAAATATTAACCTCTTTGACACATTGTGGTAATGTGACTTTGTAACATTCGATTAAGGTAATATGGACAAACATATTATTCGGTAATATTATTACAGACGGACTTTCTGGCCAAACCGTCTTCAACCTGTTGTTTCTCCGCTACCGCCATCGCACCTCATATTCTACATCTAGAAGTAATCCCGATGTAATTTTTCTCCTCCACCTCAAGCTGGGCAAACTGACCAGTGCCTTCTGGCAGCCGCATTTCGCGGCGGGTCCACCCCATTCGAACTTTTCATTTGCGGCATACCGCGTCACAGTTCCTTATCTCTTGGCCGTCACTTTTATTTTTTCCCCTTTTGTATCGTATGCGCAACGCCAAGTAATAACCGCTGGTTACAAACCTTAAGTCTCGCTGACATAACGCACTTGCTCTCCAGCCCGTGCTCGCTAGGTACATGCACAACGACCGTTGATTGATCGCGGCGCGTACAGCTGATCCGAGCTAACATCACCTCATTAAATCCTTAAAACATTTGCCATCAACCTGGTTTACCTGCCCAAAAGCCACTTGCCCGAAGCGCCAATTTCTACTAATACCGCATTTCAATAAGCCTCACTCCTTATCCCTGCATTGCCCGGCTCGGCCGCGGCGAGATGGCAGCGGCGGCGCCGAGCCTGCAAGCAGCGTCCCTCGTCTACTGCTGCGCGCCGAGCCACGCTACGATGAGACCAGTAGCAGCCGCAACAGCAGCACGCCACGTGTCCGCCAGTACCCCAGCTACTGTTGTCCTCGCTGCAGCGAGAATCAGCTGTAGCAGCAGCAGCGGCAGCTTCTGTAGCAGAACACGTAAAACCTCCACACAACCCTTCCCCACTCTGCTACCGCTCCGTGCCCACACGACGGTAACGACGAGTCGTTTGTGCGACGCTGGAATAGTGAGAGGAATCGAGCGACGTCGCTGGCCGAATCCAGAGTGTCGCAATCGGACGGCTGTCAGAGCCGCGTTAGGCGGCGGATTTCAAGGGGACTCGCAATCTGGCTCTTCTAGTGCTGATAGCGGGTCTGATGCGGATCTTGCTGCCGCGGCGCAATCAGCTGCCGCCGCAGCAGGCGCTATCCCCCTCGATTCCCCCGTCACTCCTCCACCCCCGCCTTCCCCTCCCCCTTTGCCCCGCCTCACGCCATACTCCCTTCTCAAGTTAGCCGTTGCCGCAGTAATCGCGGTCACCGCGGGCCGCGCCGTGTTTGGCGCCGTGATTGGCGCGGTTCTGCACCCAGAGGTGCTGCTGCGCGCCAGCTGGCTGCTCGTGGTGTGGCCGTGGCCCGCGGCGGCGCTGATTGCGGCGTGGACGGTGGCGACGGCGGCGGCGGGAGGCGGGAAGAAGCAGCCGCTGTGGAAGCAGGTGGGCGTGCTGCTCGGCGCGCTTACGTGGCTCATTCTCGTGCCCTGCGGGGCGTTTCAGGTGAGACGGGCGGGCTGGCGGAAGAGGAGGAGATGGGGGAGGGAAAGGGGGAGAGAGTAGGGAAGGGGGAAGCGGCAGAAAGAGAATAGAGGAGGGGGCGAGGGGGCGGGGGGGGGAGGAGGGGGGTGGGGGGCGCGAGGGAAAGAGGGGGAGGGAAGGACCGAGGGGAGGCAGTGGACGGGCGGACGGATAGATGTTTGGATGGAGAAGGAAGAGGGATGAGATTAGCTGCTGGTAGAAGCCGGAAGAAGGGGTTGAGATGTTTGGGGAGGCAGAGCATGTGCGCAGGTGTAGTGAGTATTTTGAGCCTACCGAGCCATGCATATGCGTGCGTGGTCGCGTGGTCCTGAGCCGAGCTGTGTGTGAGGCTGCTGTTAGGAGCTAGTTCAACTGTCATGTCTCAGGGATTTGGGGTTTGTGGAGGGGAGAGAGAAACGTTAGGAGAGTTTTCATGCATCAAGTGAGGGAGAGAGCCACGTTTCTCTGGTGCAGGCAGGAGGGAGAGAGAGGCACTGTGGTTGTGGCTGGGAGCAGCTTCTGAGGTTTATTCATCATCATTAGCAAGCTCTCTGAAAGCAATGGCTCGCGCTGCAGTGCAGTGCGGTGCAGGTCAGTTTTATGCAGCGCAGGTAGGGGAGAGGTGCTGTGATGTTGGCAGTGGAGGGCGGAAGGCAGGTGAAGGTAATGAACGGAGAGGAAAAGGTAAACCGTGAGGGCTTTATTCGTGCACGAGACACTCACCCTTACACCCGCCAGCCCGGATTCTCACTCTCTTGCCCTCTTGTTCCCTCTAGATCGCCCTACCTCCCCCACTTTCCAGCTCCTGCCCCCTTGTTCCCCCGTTCCTCACTAACCCCTCTGCAACCCCTCTTTTTCTCATCACCCTTCCCTCCCTCCTTCTCTCCCTCTCTCGCCGCTGCTCCGTCTCTCTCTTTCGTGCTCCCTCACTCCCCCTCTTCCTCGCTCCTCGTATCGCCTCATAGGGCTATCTGGACGGGTGGCGAGGCGAGTGACCCTGTGAGTGCATTACGCGGTGTTCCTCAGCGCATCAGCCATCTTGCGCCTCTTATTCACTTCCCCCTCTACTCGCTCCCTCTCTCTTTACCCACTCTCCCCTCTCCCCCTCCCTCTCTTCTCCTCTCCCCACACAGGGCTACCTGGACGGGTGGCGGGTGAGTCTGTGTGTGCTGTACGCAGTGTTCTTCAGTGCATCAGCCATCGTGCGTCTGCAGCTGTACGGGGACCTCGCACCGCCCAGCAGGGACCAGCAGCAGGCCACCGCCACCAGCCGCACAGCGCAGGTGCGTCGCATCCTCTGCCCCTTGATGACGTGACGATGATCATCATGATCTCATCATGTCCTCCCGTCCGTCCGTCCGTCCGTCCGTCCGTCCGTCCGTCCGTCCGTCCGTCCGTCCGTCCGTCGGTCTGTCAAGGCCAGCACTGTTTTTCCATGCGAGTGTCTTATGCAAGCGCCAATGCAAGCGCCAATGCAAGCGCCAATGCAAGCGCCAATGCAAGCGCCAATGCAAGCGCCAATGCAAGCGCCAATGCAAGCGCCAATGCAAGCGCCAATGCAAGCGCCAATGCAAGCGCCAATGCAAGCGCCAATGCAAGCGCCAATGCAAGCGCCAATGCAAGCGCCAATGCGAGCGCCAATGCGAGCGCCAATGCGAGCGCCAATGCAAGCGCCAATGCGAGCGCCAATGCAAGCGCCAATGCGAGCGCCAATGCAAGCGCCAATGCAAGCGCCAATGCAAGCGCCAATGCAAGCGCCAATGCAAGCGCCAATGCAAGCGCCAATGCAAGCGCCAATGCAAGCGCCAATGCAAGCGCCAATGCAAGCGCCAATGCAAGCGCCAATGCAAGCGCCGCCAATGCAAGCGCCAATGCAAGCGCCAATGCAAGCGCCGCCAATGCAAGCGCCAATGCAAGCGCCAATGCAAGCGCCAATGCAAGCGCCAATGCAAGCGCCAATGCAAGCGCCAATGCAAGCGCCCATGCAAACCAGGCGCCCATGCAAGCCAAGCGCCCATCTTAATGCCCATGCACGCGTCCTTGCAAGCGCCTTCTCCGGTGCATCTATCCGGCCCCTTCCTCTGAACGGTCCTGCATTCCTTCCTTCCCTTCCATCAACCACGCATAATGCCCATTCTTATCCTCCCGCACAATGCTCCTACTATCCTGCTTCCTCATCCCATCCCCATCCCCATGGCTCCTTCCGCTGACCACAATTTGTCCTTTCCTGTCCCTCCTCCTTCCTCTATCCCTCATTCTCTTACCTTCCCTTTCCCCTATCCCCTTTCCCCTCTCCTTCCCCCCACCCCCCTTCCCCTCTATCCGCCCCTCGCCCCACCCCACAACCCCCCGTCCCCAGGTTCTCTTCGTGCTCTCAGTGGTGGACGGCCACTGGTACGCAGCATTTTGAGGCACCCCACAGAATGCTCCTACCTCCCTTTTCCCTATCTCCTTCCCCCCATCTCCCTTCCCCCCACCCCACAACCACCCCACCATCAACAACCCCACCATCCCCAGGTGCTCTTTGTGCTGTCAGTGGTGGGCGGCCACTGGTACGCAGCCTTCGAATCCGCATCCCGCGCAGCCCTCCTCGCCGCCTCCACCGCCGCCACCACCGCAGCAGCCACAGCCTCAGCAGGCGCAGCAGCAGGCGCATCAACAGCCGTAGCAGCCCCGTTTGCAGCGTTTCTGGACCCGTGGGCGTCGCGCATAGCCCCGGTGCTGCTGGTGCTCGCCCTCTGGCTGCATTGGGACGCGGCCTTCTTCCTGGGCAAGTACTTTGACCGCCTCGTCGTGCCCAAGGCCGTCGTCATGGTGGGGCCCTACCGCTCGCTGCGCCACCCGCTCTACGCCTCCTACGTGCTGCTCTTCTGCGCCTTCTGCCTCTCCCTGCACAGGTCAGCAGCCCTCTCAGTCAGTCGCCCTCTCAGTCAGTCGCCCTCTCACTCAGTCGCCCTCTCAGTCAGTCGCCCTCTCAGTCAGTCGCCCTCTCAGTCAGTAGCCCTCTCACTCAATCTCGTCCTTGCTTGGCCCTTTCCTCGTCTCCCCTTTCTCCTCCCCGTTGCGGTAGTGCCATTGCTGCTGCTTCCCTTTCCCCAGCAGCTGTTGCAGAGTGAGCCGGGCTGAGGTGCAGTGTCGGGATAGGAAAGAAGGGATAGCCAGCTGCCAGCTATGATGGATTTGACGTTGGGATAGATCAGCGTCAAGCGTCAAGATGCTACGTTTTGGCTCTTAATGTAACGTTTGTCGCAACTAATGACGCTTGAAGTCGCCTTAACCATTTTTTTCTTTTCTTTTCGTTTCTTTTTTTTTGCGCCCGCGGAAAAAGACCGCATCGCATTTACGCGAGGAGAGGAAGTCTAGATTTAGGAGGTCAGCTGAATCTCGACCTAGAAATGATCTCCACTGTCCATGATGCTGCAGGGTGTTTTTGAGAATTCTCAAAAACACCCTGCAGCATCAATGGCCTCCACTGTCCGATTTCCAAAAAGGAAATTGGCTGATTTTCATGATTCTTTGCGGTGAAGACCGGTAATGAGGGGGGTTGGTGGAAACCACAATGTTGGCAAACCGGTGGGATGGTGAGGCCACGTACGAATTTCACTTCCAACAATTTGGAGAGTGGGGTACGGTTAGTACTCCCTCTTCCCACCAATCCCCTACACTTCCTCCCAGGGCTCTTTCAACTAGCATCGATGATTTCTCCAAGTCAGCGTCACGTCAAGTGTCCAGACACTAGCAGTTTGTTGCTAGCGCCAACGATACTTGACGCGTCGAACCCATCATAGGCGATTGGTCCCTCACCTCGTACTCGAACAGGGCGAAAGCACCCTCTGGAAGCTGATGATAAAGCTCTGCCAGCTCTCTACCAAAGAAGAAAAAGAAAGCTAGTTCAATCCCGCCTCCTGCGGAAGGAAGCGGATGCTTAGTGCTGCGCTTGAGTTTGAAAAAGGGTGCCATGGTTGTGCACGAGCTTAAGTGGGGAGAGGGTGGCGAGGGTGGCGAGGGTGGCGAGGGTGGCGAGGGTGGCGAGGGTGGCGAGGGTGGACATGAGGTGGCTGCAGGCGTTGGTGCATGTAAGTGAAGCAAGGCATTGGTCCAAATGGAAGGTCGTCTTGCTAACAAGCACCTGTGCTAGCAAGATGACGTCACGGTGGGCAACGGCCTTGGTTACTAGGCCGGGTTGAATGGTGGCCGTTAAAGGCCGTGGCCCCAAAGGTTCACTTCAGTGGCCCCCACCCGCGCTGTCGCTTCGCTTTGCACGCCTGTGTTTGTTCGTCTGTTATCGCTTTGTCACCGTGCGAGGCTGAAACCTACGCGGGCACGTAGGGTTCAGGAGTCCAATTGCCAATGTTCCCTTCTGGCTGAGCTCGTCTCACGCAGCGCTGTTACACTCTCTGATGTGATAACACCAGCGTGAACCACCCCACCAAGGTACTGGTCTTGCCTCTCCGGTCCAAGCACACATTGAACCCCCGCATATATCTTGTTTCATTCGCGTCGCGAGCTCGTTCAGCCGGGTCACCTGGCGGTCAGCGAGATTGTTGTGTGCTATCAGGGGTCACCTGGGCACAACCTTGCTGACATGTTGCTTCACCAAGGCCCTATCGCGTCGTGCTACTCACTCTGTCCTTCCCTGTTTGCTTGGGCGTACGTCTTGTCTTGCCACTCTCCCAGTGTCTGTGATTTAGGTGTTGTGCGTTGTAGCTTTTCGCATGCTGAGTTGCATACGTGGTAGCCTGCTGGCCTAATGTGCTTGTACGCTGGGTGTGGTCTACAAGCGGGTTGGGGACATGTACCCCCCTTTGGGTGAGTGAGGCAAGAAGAGAAGGAAGGTGGGGGAGTGGGATAAGGAGAGAAGGGGGCTGAAACTTCTACAAACGGGTGGTTGAGTCGAATATTGAGCATTCAACCAATATCGAGCGAGGGGGCTGAAACTTCACATGTACCCGCTCGCTTGTATTTCCCTCTCCTCTCCTCTCCCACCAGCTCTTTTATGTGTTCTGGTTTGTCCTGGTGAATCTGGCTGGCCTTTGAACACAGCATTCATTCTCAAGCTTGCAGCACACGAGGGTGGGCAGCAGTCATTGAGAAGGAGCCTTTCTGTGACAATTGCTGACTCGAGAAGAGGATATATCTTGGCCTGCCATGCTAACTTGTTCCTTCTCTCCTCTCTCTCACGCTCTCCTTTCCTGTTCCATCCCCTTCCTCTCTCCTTTCTCCCTCCTTCCCCACCCCATCCACCAGTTTCACTCTTCCTTGTGATTTCTCAATTTTCCCCTCTCTACCCCCTCTACCTCATAGCTACAAGGCAATGCTCTTCCTCTTTACTACCTCTCTGCTCTACAACCTGCTTCCCCCCCATTCACCATCATGGTACCACAATCCCTTCCTTAACACAATCCGCCCACCCCTTCCCCTCCCATCCCTCCACCCTCCGCCCTCCGCACTCCGCCCTACCTCCCGCGCAACTACAAGGCAATGCCCTACCTCGTCACCACCTCGTTGCTCTACCACCTGCTTCCCTCCGCATCCACCCCCATTTCACCACAATCCACCATCCCTTCTCCTCCCCTCCCCTCCCCTCCCCTCCCCTCCCCTCCCCTCCCCTCCCCTCCCTCTCCCTCTCCCTCTCCCTCCTCCCTCCCTCGCCCGCGCAGCTACAAGGCAATGCTCTTCCTCGTCGTTGCATCGCTGCTCTACTACCAGGCGCGCATCACTCTAGAGGAGATCATGCTGCTCAACGCCTTCCCAGAGTATAAGCAGTACTGCCAGCGCGTGCCTTACAGGATGCTGCCCTACGTGTATTGAGGCTACTGATGCCACTGTTGCTGCTCTGCTCGTCGGTTGCATGTTAGTGGACTCCAGGCGTTTTAGCGACCCCTGCTTTGTCATGTCACGCTCCCGTCCTACGTTCGTGTGATTTGTGCCTGCCCTTCCGTTGCCCACTCTACTCTACCCATTGTATCCATCCATCCTCCTCGTCCCCACTCCCTTAACCCGTCCTCCAATGCACATTGATGCATGGTCGTCATACCATTCAAGTGTCCTTCCATTGATATCATGGTGCATTGTCATTGTCACTTCTCCTCCTTTCTCTTACCAGTACCTACTCCTACCGCACTAGTGAACGCTTGTTCTAACTTCTAGTCTAGACCAATGTACCTCAACTATCCGTGTTATGGCCAGGATGGCTTTAGGCCTCGAAGCAATGATGGCAGTTGGTGCTATTTCGCTTATGCACACGCAAATGTTAGTGAACATACAGTAGCCAGCTACTATTGAATTAGACGTCTTCAGTTGAGCTAGTTACAAGGGTATGTCAAGGATGTTTTTATACATTTGGGGGCTTGGCTGTAGTGAGTTACATCTTAGGTGGTGGTACATGTAGAACTCTCGACAACCTTGTGCCCCACTCACAATCCCTAGTTATCCATTCCCGACTAACTCCTCTAGACACCTAATTAACTATCTGAGATGGTATCAGCTAGGTAACTCCTAGGCCTTTGCCCCGTGTCGCCCCGTGTCTTCTTAAAACGCCCCGTTACGCGCTGCCCCACGCTTCCCCGCGCTGCCTTACGTTGCTCTCGCTACCTACGCTGTAGCAGCCGCGCGCACGTGCATAGCAGCGCGCACGCGCAGCAGGGCCCCTCGCGCATGCGCGGCAGCACGCGCTCGCGCAGCAGCAGCTTCGCGCGCAGGCACGGCATGCCCCGCGCGCACTGAAATCGCCGCCACGCGCCCTGAAACCGCCGCCGCGCGCCCTGCCCACCCTGCCCGCGCCCCGCCCCGTCCCGTGCTGCGCCCTTCCCTGCCGCCAGCGCGCGCAGCCGCACGCACGCCGCCGCGCACGAGCAGACGCGCGCAGCAGCAGCTGCTGCACGCGCAAGCGCAGCAGCCTACGCAATAAGAGCCGCGCGCGCGCAGCAGCGGCAGGAGTCTGACTAGATGAATGACTGCTAGCACACGATGCTGGAGTTTTAACTGTGATGATTCCATTCCATGTAGCGTTCAGTCTATGAGTCGGCTGACTCTCAGGTATTAACAGAAAAGAAGTGATGATGGTTCCATCAGGTGACGTGATGTAATGTACGAGGTTACGGCAGTTTACTGCTAGTCGAGGCATGATGATCCATACTAACTGCACACCAGAGTCCCTCTGGACCAGGTGTGAGGTGAGGAGGAAACGCCGTTGATGAGGATATCATATGATATGATGTGATATGGTACAAGAGATCACAATGTGAGGTGCATTTTGGGGCGGATCAGTCAATTGAGGGTCACCAGGCAGGCACCCCGGGTGGCAGTGAGTCTGGGAGGCTGGTGTGGTGAACTCTGGTTCATGAGCTGGTGAGAGCAGTGCAGAGCGGTCGGAATGGTGGCCGGAGAGGAGAACTCCAATGTGGAATTCCAGGTGACTAGTCGTCAGGTGATGTGCCAGGTGGCACGTCAGGTGACAAATATGGCACTGGAGGAGATCTCACATGGTGCGTTAAGCTGGTTTGATGGAGGGAGGGAACCAACAGTTTGCTTCATCTCATCGCAAGCACCGTCAGCGTCAGTATCAGCGGCGCTGCTGTCTCTCACATCAAGCTGGCATTCTCATCAGCTTCCATCCAAACTCAAGAGCAGCGGCCCGAGCCACAAGTCTAAACACCCCGGAGGCACGAGCCCAATTTGAGCCGCCGCCAACCAGTAAAAAAACACCCACTCCAGGCAGCCCAGCCCACCCGGGTCCAAACACCTGCCACAAAATGCATCAATCACTCCCGACAGTAGCAAGCCCAGGGCCTTGGTTGCGCCAACATCTGCTAGCTGTCACCAAGATCAGCCCCACCAAAGCCGCCATACCCGCCAGGCCACGGAGCAAAGTCCAAGTGCTCAAGCTCCCTCAGCTCTCCTCCTGTCAACGCTTCCTCGCATCCCTCTGCGCCTCTCTCCCCGCAGCCTCTTCCTTCCGCGCCTTGTCCTTCTCCGTTCATCCCACCTGCTGCTGCTCCTCCTGCTGTTCCAACCCCTCCATACCCACCAGCACCACCATCCGCATCAGCACCGGCAGCACCAGCATCAGCAGCAGCACTAAATGCACTCATGTCACATCCAACAGCGTGAGACTCATGAGCCTCTGATGTTCTCCATCCACCAACATCCATTCCCTCCCCATGCCCTTCCAATCCCTCGCCCTCCCTCCCGATTCCCCATCTCCCACCGCCCATTCCTCCCCCAACTCGCCCCTCTCCAAAGCCAAGCTTCCCAAACCCAAGATCTACCTCACTGGCTTCGGTTCCCTGCCTTGCTTGACGCACATTCACATGGCACTGCGCCTGTGGCTGCAGCAGCGGGATGGAAAACGGCTGGGGAAGGAAGGCGGGGGTGCTGTGCGGCATTGCGCATGGTGCTTCAGCAGCCGCCGTGCCGACAGCAGCAGCAGAAGCAGCAGCAGCAACCGAAGCAACGGGAGCAGCAGGATCAAAGGGACGAGTGGCCGTATCGGGTGTTGTTGGTGTGCGGCTGTGGTTGAACATTGTTTCTCCAGGCACTGCAGCATTCTGTGCTGCTTGGAGTGAGCCAGGGGGGAATGCAGCGCTGACTTTTGGGTTCAAGGCTGGGCGTGGTGAGTGCTGTTGACCGGAATACTGGCCTGACAGAGGGCTGCTGTGAGGAAATGTAAGAAGCTGCGGCGAGAAGGAAGAGGGGACGAGAGATGGAGAGGATGGGAGAGTGGATGGGATTGGGAGGAGAGTCTGGTCTTGTGAGGAAGGAGGGGGATGAGGAGAGAAAGGAGCAGGAGCGGCAGGAGCAGGAGCAGGAGCAGGAGCAGGAGGAGGAGAAGTAAAAGGAGGAAGAGGAGGGGGATTGTGGATTGAAGGAACGGGGGGGAGATGGTGAAGGTTCGCGGGTGATTGGAGGGAGATGTGGCTTTCAAAGAGTACGCTGGACAAGTCCAGCGTTCTGCCTGGCGCTGCTTCGAAACCGACAGAGCTGCCAAAAGGAAGAGGCAGGGAAAACGGGGGTAGAGGAGCAGCAGCGACAGGAGCAGCAGCGGCAGAGGCTGCAGAAACCTTGCTGGTGTCAGCAGGAGCAGCGGGTGCAGTGGCTGTAGCGGCAGAGACCCAAGGCATGGAAAGGTTCGGAGGAGATGAGATTGCAGGAGGCGTTGCAGATGGTTGGAAGGCAGAAACACCAGAAGATGTTGCTGTTGCTAGCATCCTTGCTGCGCCCGCGGTCGCCGAGATGGGCATGTGCTGCTGCGCCTGCACGTCTCCCCATCCACGGCTCACAGAAAGAACCGTATGCTGCTGCTGCTGCTGTGGTGGTGGTGCAAGCACCTGAATCATCCGCTCAGCCTGACTGGGTTGCTGCACACGAGGAGGCGGACTCAGCTGAGGAAGGTTCTGATGCTGCTGCTGGAACGAAAGCGTTAATTGCCCCTGAAGCGGTTGAAGGGGCTGGTGAGGATCTAAGCGAGATCCCCGCCCCGTCCTCTGTCGCTCGGCTTGATCAAAGGACGGGCTGCTGCCATACCCCGTGCTGCCACTGCTCATGCTGCGCTGCTGCTGGAGTGGCTGAAGAGGGAACTGCAGGGGCGAACCCTGGTTCTGGGGCTGCGATGACAGATGCTCCCGCTGCCCCAGAATGGCCGCTGCTGATGCTGATGGTGATGCCGTTGCCGCCGCTGCTCCTGCTGCTGCTGCTGCTGCTGCTGCTGCTGCTGCTTCTGCTGGTCGGTTCTGAACCTGACTCAGCACCAGGTCAGCACTGGCTAGAGCAACCTGCATCGAGTCTCTCCTGCACTGCTGGTCTTCCTCTGCCTGTGTGGCTTGACCGGCTTGACCAGGCTGACCAGGTTGACCAGCACGGCTGTAGCATGCCACACGTAGGTCTCCAGAGTTATCACTGGATGATCCTGCAGAGCGACACGCGGGCGCACAGAGGAACAAGCACTACGATGAGTGACAGTGCCGCACACACACTCACACATGATGCTTGCACCCTTACCTCCACAGTCCACGGGATGCACGCAACTGAAAAGCTTGAATTACACAGCGCGAAAACACTGCACGCACTTAGATCCTCTCCTCTTCACCTCACCTGTGGCTCCGTGCCGCGGCTCCTCTCCTCTCCACCCTCCACCGCCGCCCAAGCTGGCCGTTCTTCTTCCTTCAGGGCCCCTCTTCGCGTGGCCCTCCTCTGCTGACCCGCTCCCCAGCTGTGGGCTGCGGAGGGTCTTGAGGTCCGCCTTGCGCCGCCGCTTGTTGTGGTACTGGAGACTCTGCCTGCAGCTGCGCCTGCCCGGCTCGAAATCATCCATGTCCTGAAATCTGAAGCAGCAGGGAGAGGGGAGGCGGGGCACATGAGGGCCAGTGAGTGGGAACATCAGCAGCAGCAGCAGCAGCAGCGGCGGCGGCGGCGGCGGCGGTGGCGGCGGCGGCGGCAGCAGCGGCGCTTTACGGTCCTCCAAGCCAAGCTCTCTCACCTGCTGCATTGTTGGCAGAACCGTTGCTGGTTGCCGTCCACTGTGACAGCAGCAGCGCGTGTGTGCACGCCGCACACCCGGTGCCGCCGGTTGTACGACCGAGCGCTCGACAGGTCCTCTCCGCACCCGTCCACGCGGCACGTCACAACCCCCCGTCCGCCACTCCCCCCGCCACCGCCGGGTTGAGGGCCGCTGGTATCACTGGGCGCGCCAACAGCAACGCCGACTTGGTTGAGACTCAAATTCGGAGCTCCCGTGCTGGAGGTTCCGCTGGCGGTGCAACTGTTAGAGTTAGTGTTAGTGGTTGTGGCGGCAGCAGCAGCGCCAGCGCCAGCAGTGGCAGCAGTGGCAGCAGTCGGCGCTGGTGCAGAAGATTTGAATGTGAAGCCGGCGCTGGTGCTTTTGCCGAGATCCCAGACTGATGTTGAATCGCCCCCGTTTGAAGCACCGGCGCCCTCGTCTCCGCCGCCGCTTTCGCCTCCTTCGCGCCGCGCTTCTGGTAACAGTGACATAGACGCCGTTACAACCTGAGCGACGTTGTTTTGATACAAGATCGTGTTGGAATGGTTGGAGCTAGAATCGGGATTTTGTTGTACCGCCGCCGCCGCCGCCGCCATGATGACTCTCGCCGCCGTGGCTGCGACTGAACCAGCACTGGCGCTGCCAGCTGTCAGCTGATGCGGCACTGGCTGCTGACGTGGCGGTCGCTGGAGCCTCGTCACGTCGGTGGCGGGAGAAAATTCTCTATCATAGGGCGACGGAGGCGGCGGCGGCGTGATCGGCGACGCGGCGGTCGCGTCCGCCGCGTAGGGCTCGTCCCTACCGCCGCCGCTGGCGCCGGGAGACGACGACGACGCGGAATCGAGCTTCCTTCGACCGCGGCTCCCGCCTCCGGGGCCGGCTTTAAGTGCCTCAAGACTCCAGTCATACGCGTGAACGACCTTGGCTCCTAGCCTCTTATTATTGTGGTTTATAGTAGCAGCGTCGTCGTCCGGAACCTCCGCGTCAGGCTGAAGTGCCGCCTTGGGTTGTGTCTGCTCGTCCATGCGACTCGGAGTAATAAAACGTCGCACTACTATGTCAAACGGACGAGTGATACTAGTGCTACTAGTATGCCGACGCGCCACTGCGATAACCATTTACGCTACGCGATCTCGACTCCAGAACAGAATGGCAACTTGTGGTACTAGTTATAGCGTATTTCACGTTCAGCTCTACTGGTGCGGCGACGATGTCCTTTCGCATAAGAACGCATGCCAATGGACTTGCGCAATGACTCGCCATAAAACATGCGCCGGACGAATAGGCCAGTGGATGAAGCTATCGCAAGCTGTTACTACTGAGCGGCAAAGGATGAGAGCCTCGATTTCCGAACATATTACAGTAGTGACGGAGAAATGCAGGGGAATGGTCGGAAGTAAATGCACGTGGTCGAGGGATTCCGCAAATGACACCACTTCCACCAATACCCACAAGCCTAAGGGTGCGTCAGATCCGTTGTCAGGAAAATCCGGCCGGCCGGAACTAGCGAAAGTAACGCATTTGCGACGATCGCACAAATTTTCGTGCACTTCGCTAAATCCGGCCATGTGTAAACAAATTGATGGCCGGTTCAGCATTCGACAAAGTTCTGACGTGCAGTCGTCTCGCCAGTCGACCAATTTGTCGACCTGAAATCGCTACAGTAACTACGCGACGTCGCCAACTCGTGCGACACAACGTGTCACACAAATATTGGATCTGCGACTGCGTCGCACAATCCGGCCACCCTCGCGACCTGCTAATCTGACACATTTGCAAAGCGGCCTGCAAATCGGCCACCAAATGTGTCAGATTTTCCAGCCCTGTAAATGTGGCCGGATGTTGGTCGTTTTTTTATGTCGACCCTGTTGTCGACTTTGGCGAAAGATTTAGTCGACCAAATTGTCGACCAAATTCCAGCCAAATCCCTTTGTAACGGATCTGACGCACCCTAAAACGTCAGGAAAAATCCTGGCTGTTTGGGACTGGTCGGCATTAGAAGTGGGGCGAAAAAGCGCGTCCCCTGTGCTGGGGCACCTGCTTTCACACTGTCAAAATCCATATCTTCTTTCCTTCGGGGGGAACCGATCCACCGCGTCAGCACGAGGTGGGTGCCAGGGCGGGCCGAGTGCACGGGGAATACAGTACAGTGTCTGCCCGACGGGTGTACTGTGGTGTGATCGTGATCGTGATCATATGGTCATAAGTTGACGACGCTAAATAAACCCTCATGAGTGGAGCTGTAAGGACGCAACAAATCACGACCTCCGTTTGTCTCCCATCAACCTCCGCATCCCCAAAACGTCAGCATTCACTTTACACTAGTTGTTGTGCGCTATAATATTTCGTATAAATGTTACCTTCAAGACATCGGACATCACAAAATTGTATTCTAGTTAAACGAAAACTGCATCAATGCTTACAAGCACCATTCACGGTATTATTGCACTATAAGATGGCCCTCGCATAACCGTTGACGACATCGATTCACTATTTCATCATGCTTGTTCCCTTTCTAAAGCGTGGAATTCGTCCAGCCCACGCTTTTGTGCAAACTGGAGTTTCACAGGAGGATAGGCGAACTGGAAAAATAGATACGATTAAAGAGAATCTGATGCCAGTTCGGTGTAGTAGAACGTGTTCACTGTTTCAGGCACGATTTATTATGTCTGCCATTGCCGCAGTTGAAGACTCATGACAAAGATTTCAAGTTCTTATGAAGTCTAGTCTAGTCCCCATATCAACTTCAATTGTGCAGGCTATTGATGTAGTCGTTTCCATCCAGTGATCTGGTTTTCAGGCAACCATTGGCAAAAGCTACTAGCAAAAGAGAAGCTTCTTTTTTTTCCGCTTGTCCAGCTCCGCGCAAAAGAAAAGCTGGACACTTATGGTCACCCCATGCAACGCACCCGATTATGAAACAAGACGGGATTCTGCTTTTAGGACCAATCTAAAAGTGCATTGGGTGGTCGGTGAGCGACCTTGTCACCCGAAGACGCTTCAAAAAGGAGAAAATACAGTGTGTTACAGTCTCCTCCAACTGATCCCATCGCTCAACGGATGTATCTTCTTGCGCAAAGTGTTTGCCACTGTGTCGGAGCTCCACCGCAATAAAGAGTTTTGAGTACAATGTTTGGTACGAAACTTATTGATCCCTACAGATGTTTGGTCCCGGATTCTTCGAAATTCGTAAGGAGGTCGAATCAAGCAAGAGGGAATGCGACTGCTCACGCAAGGCGCCTTGGCTGTTCTGTACATACACGATTCGTCATCATGCAAAAATATATATTTTCTACAGTTGTTTTGTGGAAGTCCTTTTAGATCACCTTGTTTGGCTCATTCCATTTGTCTCTTAATTTACAGTCAAAATGTTTGAAGGGAATGCCTGCATCATTTACACGCAACGCACACGTAAAATTCTGTTCAACTCGAGGTTCTTGGGGGACAAGGGGAGCGCACACGCGTTGAGCTGCCTGCTTTTACTGTATGGGACTGTATCGCTCTTTCCATGATGGCGTAGCCGACGTGGCGGGTATGGGAGAATTGTGCCACGGCGGGCAGTGCCGCCGGCGTTTACCTCGAATGCGCCGTCGCATGCCACCCTGTGTGAGCTGACTGAATTGGGAAATCTTCAAGTGAAGCCTGCACATCATCAACAACACCCAACCCACACGGAGAATCCTGTTGATTGCACACGCGGATCCGAAAAACGTGGGGAGTGAGATGACCGCGTTATTTAAGAAACTAATACACGTGAAGCCTCGATATAAACAAAACCTTCCCAAAATACCCTGAAATTGAGACCTGCTGTTTGCTGCTTATCTAGGCTAATATATACGGTAGTCAAAATGTGGTATCTATGACAATAGGTGTTAACAGTACTAACTTAGATGGTGGTGTGACTATTTGTAGTCATTCCCCTCATTCGATACACGCATTATGTTGAAATATCACTATACCGGTACCAGCAATAACAAGAGGGTCCTGCCTGAACTAGTACCAGTAGTACAGTACGTACAACTACATTGCGTAAACACTTTGTGCCTACATTCCAGAGCAAAAAAATGGGTCTAACGAGAAATTAGTTGGTGCTGACGAGGCAAGCCTGAATCAACTGCTGTGCTGCGGATACCTGTTGCAAGGGATACCAGCAGCACAGACACTTGAAAGTGATGAGTAACATATCGTTCAAGTGACAAGGACAGGCCAGATGATGGAACAGGGGCATGTTAAAAGCAAGTCACTGTGAAATGCGCCCTCGACGGAATTGAGTGTAGACGGTACTAGTCACTCACCCACACACACCGCCACCACCACCCCCACCCCCACCCCCTCCCCGTAACCACACCCACAGACAGGTTTAACAACATTTCACTGGCCACGTTTGTCAAAATTGACAGAATCTGACCTGTGCTTGCGTGCCCTGGATTTCAATAAGCCGGTCACTTGTGTCTCCCGCCTTCAACTGCATATTAAACCACAAAGCACCACACCACAGCAGGCAGCAGCAAAAAAAAAACAAAAAAAAAAGAGAGATAATGCTGTAAAATGGTGATCGGTTTAAACCAGGAATCAATCATAACTTTGAAGATGATTTGTGACAGTGAGCACATGAGCGAGGTTCAGACAACTGGGGGGAAAAGAGAGGAGACGTGCAAGGGGGGGGGGGGGAGAGGAGGGGATGGGTTGGGGGGAGAGGTACCAAGAGGAAGTGGGAGTGGGAGCAAGAGACGGAGAGGGAAAATTAGAATCAGAAAGAGGGAGGGAAGGGGAAGGGAGGGGGAGGGGGAGGGGGAGGGGGAGGGGGAAGAGGGGGAAGAGGGGGAAGAGGGGGGTGTAGGGAGGGAGAGGGACTGGACTAAAAGAGAGGTGTGGGCAAGGAGGACGAGAGAGACAGAAGGAACAAAAGAAAAGGGTTGGCGACAAAGGATCAGAAAGGAGCCAAGAGGCAAAGCAAAGATTGGCAACAGGTGAGACGCCGTCACACAGCAAGAGGAGCAAGAGTAGCAAGAGGGGCAAGAGGAGCAAGAGGAGCAAGAGTAGCAAGAGTAGCAAGAGGAGCAAGAGGCACACGCAGACACGCACACGCACCTTGGCAACGCGGACAATGGCGCCAGAGATGTTGCGGATGTTCTTGATGGTGTGGCCGCCATGGCCCAGCACTGCACCAATGGATCCGCTGCTGATGCGCACCTCCGCCCGCACCTTGGCCTCGTCAGGCGTCGCGCCTATCGGCACCACTGGCGGCTCGTCCTGTGTCCTGCGCCGCTTTGCTGTTGATTTTTCCGAGCGGGGAAGGGCAGAAGGGGGAGCGATGGTGAGAAAGAGTTGATCTTGATGTGGGAATAGAGAACATGCAGGCAGATGCGAGTGCACGCATGAGAAACTATGCAAGTGGATGCATGCGTGAGAAGGTGTGGTGCATGCTGGTGCGAAGGGGTGAATGGAGAAGGAGCAGGTGGGGAAGATGCAGGTGGGACAGCAAGAGCGAGAACCAGAAAGAAATAGCATGGAAGGAACGAACAACAAGGGAGAGCAAGAGCTGGAGAGCAAGAGCGGGAGAGCAAGAGCACGGACGCAAAAAAGCCTGCGCAAGAAAGAGAAGGCACGCGAAAGAGAGAGCAAGGGAGCAACAGCACTGCCAACCATAGGGATCGTGCACGGGCACAACGACTTGAGGCAGGAAGGGTCCAGGAGAGCATGTGCGCTGTGCAGGGGTGGGCGGCGAGGCGAGCAATGCAGTGGGACGACTTTCAAAGCGCCCCAAAAGTCGCAAGGGCGCCGCTCACCATAGGGATCGTGCACAGGGACGACGACTTGAGGGAGGGTCCAGGAGGGCATGTGCGCGGTGGAGGGGTGGGCGGCGAGCATGGCGGTGGGCATCTGCGTGATGGCGTCATATGCCACCATGGGGATCTGCCTCGTTGGGCCCGCTGTGCCCTCCAGCTCCTGCAGACTCTCCTTTGGCGTGTGCTCCCTTGGGAGGGCACGCAGGGTTTTGTGGGGAGCGGGAAAGGGGGGGTGGGAGAGGAGGTGGGGTTGAAGGGGATTGGGTGAGGAAGGAAGCAAGTGTGCACACTTAAGGAGGACGTGCGAGCGAGTTTGAGGGGAAGGGCGGAGGGGAAAGGGAGGGGGAAAGGGGGGATGTGAGGGGAGAACGGGGAATGGGGAGGGGCAGGATAGGGGAGGATAGAGAGATGCTAGTAAAAAGCAAGAACGACAGGATAGGGGACGTGGGAGAATAGGCGGGATGGAAGACCGGTTGGGGAGGGGAGGAGGGGGAGTGGGGGGTTGTGGGGTTGGGGTTGGGGTTGGTTGGGGTCAGGAGGGAGAGAATGGTACAGGGAATGAACGCTCGTTGTATAACAGCATGCATGTACGTGTAAAGTCATATTATAGCATGCCGCCATCCCACCACCCCACCATCCCACCATCCCGCCACCGCACCATCCCACCATCCCACCAAGCCACCACCCACCCTGCCACCAAACGTGCACCCACAACAAGAATACCTGAGCTTGTTCGCCAATTCCTTGACTGCTCTCTCCACCTGCTCCTCGCTGCCTGTTATCTGCGCACACACACCATGGGCCACCAGCACAGGAAGGGGTACACGACACGCAATCCGGGTGGCAAACCCACATGGGGGGAAGAAGAATGGGAAAACGTGGGGACGGGGAGAGAACGAAAGGAGCGTTGCGAGCGGAAAGAGAGGGACGGAGGGAGGGAGGGAGAGGGAGGGAGGGAGAGGGAGGGAGGGAGAGGGGGGGCGGGGGCGGGAGGAAAGAGTGGTAGCTGATGTAGCAGGAGATAATATTGCAATGAAACGCCAAAAAAAAGAAAAAAAAATGCAAGCGACAACAAAAACAACCACAACGAGCGCACCAGCTTAAAACCTATCCCTCCCTCCGTCAGCGTTTCTCTATAAACCTCGCCAAAGCCCGTGTTGCACAAAAAGCCCTACAGCCCTGCCTGCACCCCGCGACCCTGCCTGCACCCCGCAACCCTGCTCACACCCGTCCCTCCGCGCCCGCGGAAAACCCTTACCTGCAAGAGGCGGTCGTGCGGCAGCGCGTACGCGCCTCGGTAGGGGTCCATGCGGATGTGCGCGCCCGAGGCTTCGCGCATCTCCTTGATGCTGGCGCCGCCCTTGCCCAGCACCACGCCCGCCTGCGAGTCCGGCACCAGCATGCTCAGCACCACCTCGTCGCCCGTGTCCTTGTGCGGCTGTGTGCGGTGGCGCGCGGTGAGAAGCGGCGGGGCGTGGCGGCGACAGGACGCGAGGGTTTAAGGAGAGGGGAAGTGGAGGGACGGAGACGAGGGGAGAGGAAAGAGGAAGAGGAGAGGGGGACGGAAGAGGAGAGGGGGGGACGGGAGAGGAGAGGGAAGAAGGGAATGGAAAAGGGAAGGGGAGAGGGAGGGAAGGGGGGAGGCGCAGAGAGAAGAGAAGAGTCCGCGCACAAGGGGGGCAGTCGCGGCAGACGATGCAGAAGGTACAGAACCAGCGCCGCAGCAGCAACGCCGCCGCACCGCAGCAGCGGAAGCGGCGAGATGAGATGGCGAGAGTTTGGGTTGTGGGAGAGGGCGGGGGAGAGGGGCGCGGAGAAAGCGGGACGACGCGTGGCGAGTCGAGTCCGCGGGAATGGAGGCACGTTGGCGCGTGTTGCAGCGGGCGCAATGGAGGACAGGGGGAGGGGGAAGGCGGAGGACATGGGGATCGGGGAAAGGAGGAAAAGGAAAGGGATGATGAGGAGGAGGGAAATAGGAGAGGAGGAAGAAACGCAGGTGGAGGAATCGGAGAATTGGGGGAGGAGAGGAGAGGAGAGGTGTGGAGAGGAGAGGGGAGGAGTGGAGGGGAGTGGAGAGGAAATAAGAGGAAATAGGATGAGGAGGTCAGGAGGAGGCAATCACGCAGGCGAATGAGGAGGAATCAAGGAGTGGGAGGGGTGAGGATGAAGAGCGGCGGGAAAGAAGAGGCCACGATGAGCCGGTTTCAGCACGCTTGAATCCCCAAAGGGCGGGAAAGCGCGCTCTCCTGCTGGGGGCGATAGGTGCGCACGTGCGGGGAAAGGAGGAAGGTAGAGCGAACACACCAACGAAGGGGTAGTCAAGACGGCCACACCAATGGACAGCCTGGACTAGTCAACGATTACAAACAAAAAAGCACGCAAGCAAACAAACAAACCATTGGACGGGAACAAGTTACGGTGAGACTGAGTTGAGACAGGAAGGGTTTCACTGAGCGGCGGCAGACTAGACGCACCGTGAGCGCGAAGGGGTAAAGGCGAAAGAAGGCCGTCTCAGCGCATGTCGGCACCGTGCCGGGAGGGTCGCGCGACGACACGATCGCCACTCGCTCTTCCAACCGCTGCTCCGGGCGCCATGAACAGGGACGGGATAAGAAAGGGTGTTGGGAAGCAACGGCATGCAATTTAAAATTTCATAACAATTTAAGCTTGAAAATATGCGGGTTGATTTTACTGAAATAATTAAGTACTTGAAAAGGTGGGTAGAACGCACCACGGCCGAATTTGTGATCTTGATCCGCGCTCCTGAGTCGTCGCGAATGCTCTTTATGTTCGCACCCTTGTTGCCGATAATGGGGCCCATCTTGATGGCGGGAATGAGGAGCCGAAACACGACTGCGATGAAAACAGTACAAGCGGAAAACAGAAGTTCGCGCGTCACGAAAGGACGTAAACGACCAGGTTAAGCGAGCAAAGACGAGACAGGACTAGAAGAATAAAGAAAGATAAAAGACAGGGCAAGAACGTAAACTGAGGAGTGGACATACCTCCTGGACCTGAGATGTCCTGCTCCGCAGCAAGGGGTTCACCACATGCATTAGAAAACACCAAGAAAGAAAGGCGTTATGCGTTTGCAGTAACTGATAAGACCATCGTGTGTGGAAATGACAGATACAAGTAAAGAAAAGGGGGGGAAACGGGGGCAACGCTGAGAGCAGAAGGCCGAGGAGCGAGCGCGACGAGAACGTATTCGGGTGAAGGGAATGAAACCTCGACGAAGTTACACACCTCAGCGGATCTCTTCTTCCCACGATCTAAGCAGTCAGAATCAGCCATGGAGGTCTGCGACGAATAAGTGATCTATAAGACACAAAATCCGGCGAAGGAAACAACAGCAACTGCTAGTGTCACAGTAAGAGGAGCAGAACACGCCAAGCGAGCAGAGCACATATGAAGAGGGTTTTGGGGGGATGGAGCAAATGAAGGAATGAGGGGGAGGAGGGGGTTGGATTGGGGTTCACATGCTGTTTCGGTCCCAACATTTGCGAAATGCGAAATTAGCGAAGGGCCGGGAACAGCTAGAGCAACCAACACGACTTTTCGCCCTGACGTTTGACCCGCTAAGGGAAAGCCCTACCACGAATCGAATAGCACTTGGTTGGTGATACAGCAAAGACTACATAGTGTGCACGTTCTTTATTTCTATTCAATAGTAAGTTGTTAGTTGTTCATTTCATGTCTTTCAAACCTCACGTTCAGCTTGCTCATTCATCACTTAGAGCGGGTCAAAAGGTTACGTCCGAATACGGTTAAAAAAGGTTTCGGCTTGTTCCAAAACAGTCTAATTTAAACAAAACCATAGTTGGGTAGGGTCCTGGAGAACCATGTCCCAGTTTGGTTTTGTCCCGTCACTGCAATCATGGTTCAATTACACCCATAAGACGGGTCCATCATGGTTGCTGCTGCACAGGAATTGTGGCCCTCCCTCTCTGAACAGAAATATATCCATGATTTGTGGCATTACAGAAGCTACAGTAACTATCAATACATCTACACAAAGCCGAGAAACAAACCATGGATGCTATGCACATGATCAGAACCAGAGACCAGTGGGTCATTGCTGACCTTGATTTCTGGCGATTACAAGCATACATAAACGCACACTTCCGCAGCACCGAAGCTTCATGAAGTTCCATAATCAGTGACTCGTACCATAGAAGACATCACCTCCGTGAACACATGCAGGAGACACCTCATGCGCAACTTGCTCATCCTCCCCTGAAATAAACAGTCAAGCAAGAAGCATTAAACGCAAAGAAGCATTAAACATAACAAAGATACTTGCATATGCTGACAATGCGAAACGTATTGTAACGAAAAGATGGGATGTCTTACCACAGCAGAAGGTGTGTTCAGGTGTTGGCGCACAGCAAGTGTGATGGGACTCCGCTGTCGGAGGCGCCTTCGCGGCTGCTGCTTTCTGCTGCATGAAGTGGCTCTGGAGGGCATGCTGAGTCTCCTCCCTCACAATCCTGAAAACAAGCCACAAAGAACGCTACGGATTAGAAAAATTATTCATTCTAGGCTGACGGCACACTAAGCGAATTCGAATTGCGAAATTCATTCCCAGCCATCACAATACGTACTTATAAGACCGCAGTGTCAGGTCCACGTAATTGCTGTCCTGCCACGTGCTCTCGTCATCATGGAGCAACACTGGAGAAACATCGTCGTCGGTCCAGTACGCGCGGTCTACATCTTCTTCCACCGGCGCGGCTTTCTCCGCGTAAAACGGCGAAAGGTGGTGGGTCCCAGACGTAGCCGCAGCTGAGTTATTTCTTTTTGGTTGAATCGTGCATACGACCTGGCCGCGCCGTTGAACACGAGCGGTGGTGACTGCATGAAGAGAAAACACACGCGCCGAGGGAAAAACTGCGAGGGACGACGCCATGGTTTCTGGTCGGAAAAGGTTTCGCAAGAATATCAACTTCCGAGGTTCCGAGAGGATGCGAAATTGGCAATGTCTTGGCAATGGGGACGAGTGCAGAAGTGGCAGCGCCTTGATATTCGTATGAAACTGGAGCGAAATATCACTTGCAGATGGAGGCTGGAGAGGCACACGTGGAATCAACCAGACAAGGGAGGAGAGAAAAATGGGATTACCCAATAGGAAAAAGGTTCCTAACAGAAACGAACAGAAGCTGGATTGAAGGCACAAGTGGAAGTGGTATGTATTGTAGGGGACTTGGCGACCTCTAAAGGGAGGGCCGGAACCGGAATTTGCGATGTGGATGACAGCATGTCAAGCGTGGCGTGCCGTGGGAACTGTGGTTAGCGGAAGGCTTGGAAAACCCCGCACTGTGGACAACAACGTGGCAGAAACCGATATGATATCACCACAGCACTTTGCTGACCAGTACGAGACCCAGAACGAGTCAGCAAATGATGTCGACTGGTTCAAGACTAGCGGGAGATTGTCGGGAGTAACACAAACCAAGTTTACAGCCTCGCTGCGTGGTGCGGGTGGAATATGACGTGAGCGAATTTCATACGCTCAATCAACGTGCGCCAACGCACCGTTTCGTTGCAGCGAGGAGTCGCGATTTACAGATCTTGACCTGGCATGGATATTCAGACTCCAGAAAACTTGTCGGGCGTGATTCAATAGAGATTCTCGTTACAGGAGGGAATACGGACCACATGAAAGAGGAACAAGTTGTAGTATCCTTCAGAGGACAAAACACCATCCTTATGTTTGACAGGTGTGCAGAATGACACAACCTTGGTTCCATATTATATGGATTTGCGAGATATGTAACTGAAAGCATATCACACGCCCCTGCGCCCCCTTCGCCCCACCCCCCCCCCACTTCCTCCCTTCCTCCCCCCCCCCCCCCCCCCAACCCCCTCCTCTCCTCCTGCCCCAAATCAACCTGCACACTCTACAAAACATTCCTTTCACTCATTCGTCAAAAGGGTCTTCCAAGGCATCCATAAACTCATCACTACCACTACTCCTCACACTCATCCCACCCTCCTCATTCCTGCTGAACCTCAAACCAAGCATCTCTTCCCCTCTACCCATTCTCTCCACTTCCTCCAACTGCCTCTCCTCCCTCACCCTCACCCCCTCTCTCGCCCCTCCCTCCCCTCGCTCCTCCAAATCCTCCTCCATCTCGTCCTCCGTATCTCCCAAAACCTCACCTTCCTCCACCTCACCTGCTGCATCTGCACCAAATCCCACCCCACTCACTCCCGCTACCAGTCGCTCCCCACCTCTCACAGTGTCTGTATCTCTGTCTGTGCCAGTGATAGTGCCAGTATACCTGCCTGCTGACCCTCTCCCTGTCACAGCAGCAACAGGCGACGAGGACGAGGGATGGGGATGCAGCGGCAATCGAACGCTACTAGGAGCCACTGGTGGTGGTGACGCATGGGGGTTTAGACTCACAGCCCTGCCACCAGCACCACCAGATTGGTGGTCAGCAGCAGCAACAGCAGCAGCAGCAGCACCACCACCACCACTGCCACTAGCACCACCACCACCATTGGCAGCAGTGCTGCTACCACCACCACCACCACCACCACCACCGCCCCCCAAACGTGTTCTGTGCAGCCCCACTGTTCCGCCCACCCCATAGCCTTCCCCCACTGCTGCCCCAACTTCCTGGATCAGGGCCCCTCGCATCCACAAAAACATATTACCACCACCATCATCATCCTCATCATCATCCTCATCCTCATCCTCACCAGCACCAACAGCAGCAGCAGCATCACCAACCCCAGCAACAACACCAAAACCAGCACGACCCGCGGCAGCACCAGCAGTATTAGCCACAGGAGCAGCAGCAGCAGCAGCAGCAGCAGGAGCAGCAGCAGCAGCAGCAGCACGGCCAGTGAGCAGCGCGAGAATTCTCTGCACGCGCTCTCCCTCAGTAGCTGCCTGCCATCTCGCCACTTCCGCATCAGCCTCCGCCTCTGCCTCTGCTTCTGCTTCTGCTTCCTCTGCATCAGTGCGCCCCCCTCTCAATACACCCTCCTCCCCTCCCCCTCCCGCTCCCGCCCTCATCCCCCTTCGCAGCAGAACCAGCTGCTCGCGCACACCAAGCAGGGGGAACCGCCAGCCAGCCACAGCAGGGTGGGGGCCGGCAGCAGCAGCAGCAGCAGCAGCAGGAGGAGGAGGAGGAGGTAGGTGGGGAAAACGAGGACGATAAAACGGAGGGTCATGGCGGGCCGTAGCAGGGGCTGGCGGAGGGGGTTGCTGTGTGCGCCGGACAGAGTGGTTTCTTCCGGGCAGCTCGGTCAGGACAAACTTTCCGGGCTGCCCGTGGATGTCGTACTGTGGGAACGGGCAGCCCGTGATCGACACGTGGCAGATGCTGCCGCAATTGGGGGGAAAACGAGAGGTAGGAGGGGAGACGGTAAACGGGGGAGAAGGGGAGGGAGGGAGGGGGGGATTGAGGGAAGCTGTTCTTTGATGACACGTGGATAGGCAGAGGCGAGCAGGGAGAGTGGATTGAGAACAGAGAGCGAGAGGGTTGACAGGGGGTACCGAGGGGAGCAGGGGAAGTGTACATAAAGAATGCAGCGAGGCGGCATGCCGTGTGGCATGGCATTTGATTCAGGTGGCATGCAGGGGGGCATGCAGGGGGGCATGCATGGGGGCATGCAGGGGGGCATGCAGGGGGGCATGCATGGGGGCATGCATGGGGGCATGCATGGGGGCTTGTATAATAGAGGTCGTCAAATTGCTGTGTCTGCATGCGCCCCACAAACTCGACCTGTGCCACACCTCTTGAATTGACTCAAAAGCCCCCTCAAATTGCATGCAGTGCAGCACGCATATCAGTGCAGCAGCAACAGGTGGCTCACCAAATAGTAGTAAAGGTCGTCGAACTGCTGGGTCTGCATGCGCTGACACCTCAAGTCGACTGAGAAACGACCGCCATTTGCTAGACTCCCTCCCAGCTCACCAGATATAGTAGAGGTCGTCAAACTGCTGGGTCTGCACGTGCGCCACAAACTCCACCTGTGCCGCAGCGCGGCATGCAGTGCAGCACGCATAGCAGTGCAGCAGCAGCAACGGGTGACACTCACCAGATGTAGTAGAGGTCGTCGAACTGCTGGGTCTGCATGCGCTGACCTCTTGAGACGACTGGAAACCGAGCAGGCTTTTGAATCGGCTCCCAACTCACCAGATATAGTAGAGGTCGTCGAACTGCTGGGTCTGCATGCGCTGACCTCTTGAGACGACTGGAAGCCGAGCAGGCTTTTGAATCGGCTCCCAACTCACCAGATATAGTAGAGGTCGTCGAACTGCTGGGTCTGCATGCGCTGACCTCTTGAGACGACTGGAAGCCGAGCAGGCTTTTGAATCGGCTCCCAACTCACCAGATATAGTAGAGGTCGTCGAACTGCTGGGTCTGCATGCGCTGACCTCTTGAGACGACTGGAAACCGAGCAGGCTTTTGAATCGGCTCCCAACTCACCAGATATAGTAGAGGTCGTCGAACTGCTGGGTCTGCATGCGCTGACCTCTTGAGACGACTGGAAACCGAGCAGGCTTTTGAATCGGCTCCCAACTCACCAGATATAGTAGAGGTCGTCGAACTGCTGGGTCTGCATGCGCTGACCTCTTGAGACGACTGGAAACCGAGCAGGCTTTTGAATCGGCTCCCAACTCACCAGATATAGTAGAGGTCGTCGAACTGCTGGGTCTGCATGCGCTGACCTCTTGAGACGACTGGAAACCGAGCAGGCTTTTGAATCGGCTCCCAACTCACCAGATATAGTAGAGGTCGTCGAACTGCTGGGTCTGCATGCGCTGACCTCTTGAGACGACTGGAAACCGAGCAGGCTTTTGAATCGGCTCCCAACTCACCAGATATAGTAGAGGTCGTCGAACTGCTGGGTCTGCATGCGCTGACCTCTTGAGACGACTGGAAACCGAGCAGGCTTTTGAATCGGCTCCCAACTCACCAGATATAGTAGAGGTCGTCGAACTGCTGGGTCTGCATGCGCCCCACAAACTCCACCTGTGCCGCGCCCCCCACCGCCAGCACCACCTCTGGCAGCACAAAACGCTGCAGCGAATCCACCTGCGGGACGCATGCACAGGGGGAAGTGGGCGGCGACGGGACGAGAAGGGAGGGGAGACAGGGAAATAAAAGTAGTGTTTTAAGACGTCTCACAACCTTCCCACCGCCAGCACCACCTCTGGCAGCACAAAGCGCTGCAGCGAATCCACCTGCAGCATGCATGGGGAAGTGGGTGGTGAGGAGACAGGAAGGGACCGGAGGCGAGAGGAGGGGAGGAAAGGGAAGGGAAGAGAAGGGCAGGGACGTTGGAGCGGAAGAGAATGAGCGAGAGCAGGTGAGAGTGCGAGTGAAGGTAAGCACAAGGAAAGCGTAAGGTAGGCACAATGTAGGCTAAAGGTAGGCACACGGTAAGCACAAGGTAAGCATAAGGAAAGCACAAGGTAAGCACAAGGTAAGGCACAAGGTAAGGCACAAGGTAAGGCACAAGGTAAGGTACAAGGTAAGGTACAAGGTAAGGCAAGCACCTGGTGCATGGGGAAGAGAGGAGAGACGTAGGTCCACATGTAACCATCTCGCGCTGCCCCCGACCCGCCCGCTGCTCTGAACTCGTCCTCTGCCTCCTCACTGCCCCCCACCGCCCCCATGTGCCCCGGCCTTGTCTGTCCGTGGGCTTGGTTCGCGTATGGCTTGGCTAAGTCGGTGGGTGTGTGGTCCCCTGGTGGTGCACGTGGGTAGCCCAGCCTCAGGCGCACGTAGCGCGAGGAGTAGATGGGCCAGCCCCGCTGGAAGAAGGCTGGTGGCAGGGGGAGGGGAGGGATGGGATGGGATGAAAATAGTGACATGAGGCGAGGTGAGATCAGGTGAGGTGAGGTGACGTGAGGTGAGGTGAGGTGAGGTGTGGTGAGATGAGGTGAGGTGAGGTAAGATTAGGTGAGATGAAATGAGATGAGATGAGGGATGTGGTATAAGAAGAGCTGGGGTTTCCGAAGGGAGGTAGACGGGGAAAACGGGTGATGCTAGGAGGAGAAAGCGAGTGGGTGGCCGTGGATCCATGGCAGGCAGATGGCAGGAAGATGGCAGGAAGATGGCAGGAAGATGGCAGGAAGATGGCAGGAAGATGGCAGGAAGATGGCAGGAAGATGGCAGGAAGATGGCAGGCAGATGGCAGGAAGATGGCAGGAAGATGGCAGGAAGATGGCAGGCAGATGGCAGGAAGATGGCAGGAAGATGGCAGGAAGATGGCAGGAAGATGGCAGGAAGATGGCAGGAAGATGGCAGGAAGATGGCAGGCAGATGGCAGGAAGATGGCAGGAAGATGGCAGGAAGATGGCAGGAAGATGGCAGGAAGATGGCAGGAAGATGGCAGGAAGATGGCAGGAAGATGGCAGGAAGATGGCAGGCAGATGGCAGGCAGAACCATGATGGAGAGTCGGGGGGGAAGGGAGGGTTGTGGGGGGAAAGGGAGAAGGGGGGAGAAAAGGACACAGAAGTGCGTACCTTGAAAAGGACGAACATGGAATTCTCGAACCTGTGTTCACAAACACACGCACACACACACACACACACACACACAGACGCACGCATACACACACACACACGCACACACACACACACGCACACACACACACACACATGCACACACACACACACACACACACACACACACACACACACACACACACACATACACGAACACATGCACACACGCACAAATAAGGAAACAAAAAGGATTGAATAAAGTGTGTGCGAGTCAAAGGCAGAGACTAAAAGAGCGAACAAAAACCTCATGCCAGAAAGCAAGGCAGCCAGACCCCCTCCGCCCCTGTTTCTTCCGAGCTCCTCCCATCACATCCCCATTTCTCCTTCACCACTCAAATACCTTCTCTCTCACACCATTCCCCTCCTCTCTTCCACCTCCCCCTCCCCCTCCCCCTCCCCCTCCCGTGCTTCCCCAATCCTGCACACAACAATCCGGAGCCCAAATGCCACCCGCCACACACACACCAAGGGGGTAAGAGAGGTCTCACTAGTCAAATTAAACCCAAACCACTAAACGCACCAGGCAGAGTGGCGCCGAGAGCTGATACGTGAGAGTCTCCGGCACGAGGGGGTCAGCGCGACCCTTACTGGACCAGTAAGACGGCGTGCCGTGATCCGGCCACCTCGCCTCCGCCTGTAGCGTCTTCTCTATGCCCTCCTCGGGGTAATTGTCTGTGCTTGACGCACACACCGCACTGCCGATGCACGGCACCCACTCGAATGCCGGACCGAGGGGGCGACGGGGTGGAGGTGGAGGGGGAGGAGGAGGTGGTGCAGGGGTAGGCGGGTGGGGAGGGTTGCGGCTGGGGAGACGGGCGGTGGTGGGAGGAGGAGAAGGTGGGGATGGAGGAGCGGCAGGAGCGGGGGGAGCAGGGGCGTAAGTGTTGTGGTGTCGTAGCAACCGACGCAGAAGGCCGGTTCTTGTACTGCCATTGCCACTGCCATTGCCACTGCCATTGCCACTGCTACCACCACTTCCACTGCCGCCCCCACTGCTGCTGCTGCCACTCCCACTGCTGCTCCTGCTGCCGCTCCCGCTGCCGCTGCCGCTGCCGCTCCCGCTGCCGCTGCCGCTGCTGTGACTGGGGCCCTCTCTGCTCGAACTGGAGGGTGACAGGCTGCCGCTGCTACCGCTAGCACCGCTGCTGCTGTTGCTCGTGGCCGATACTGTCGCAGAGGCAGAGGTTGTAGGGATCTCTGACGCTACTGAGGCAATAGCAGCAGCAGAAGGGGCAACAGTGGCAGCAGCGGCAGGAGTGGCAACATCCATAGCAGCAGCAGAATCAGCAGCAGCGGGGGTGTTGCGGGTGGTGAGTGCAGTGGCAGTGGGAGCAGCGGCACCAGTCGCAGCAGTGGTGGTATCGGTGGTGGTATCAGCGGCAGTATTGGTGGTGGAGTGTGGTAGCGGGGCTGATTCAGTAAGGCCGAGAGGAGCAGCGAGGTGCCAGCAGAGAGTGGAGAGGAACCGTGACACTGCCACTGCTTCCCATGACAACCCCTCCCCTGCTACCACTGCCTCGTGCTGCTGCTGCTGCTGCTGCTGCTGCTGCTGATCAGGAGGAGGATGAGAGGGAGAATGATCCGTGTGAAGCTGCTTGCTCGGTCCTGCTCTCTCTGCTTCCCCTGACCCGTCTCTCCTCTCGTCCTCCAACCTCTTTCCTCGCACTGCTCTCGCACACGCAGCGGCCGGCGCACTATCATCACCAGCAGCAGCAGCACCAGAAGCAGAAGCAGAAGCAGAAGCGGAAGCGGAAGTAGCAGAGGAGGAGGCGCGGGAGGGCGAGGAGGAGCAGTGGCGGGAGGGGTGGAGGGAGAGGGGACGCGCGCAGCCGGTGGGGCGGACGGCGATGAAGAGAGAGAGCTGTGGGAAGAGACGCAGAGCGAGTGCGTGCCAGAGAGACGACTCGATCACTGCCGCGCACAGGGGGCAGGGGTGGAGGGGGAGTGGGAGGGAGGGAGGGAGGGAGGGAGGGAGGGAGGGAGGGAGGGAGGGAGGGAGGGAGGGAGGGAGGGAGGGAGGGAGGGAGGGAATGAAGGGAGGGACGGAAGGAAACTAGTTGATACGAAGGTGGAGACGGGGAAGAAGTGAACCCAGCCAAACAGAAGTAGCACAGGGTAGCAAAGGAGCCACAGGTGGCAATCAGGATTGCAGCAATGGCGATAGTGGCAAAGGCGGCATGGCGCTAAGGAGGCACACACACCGGAGCATAAACTCCGTGAGACAAAACAAGACACGCACGGCTTTCGAGACGTCTCAAAAGCGAGACACGGGCGCCGAGCTGCGCGCACAGAACACAAGGACGGACGTACGCACGCACGTACGTACCGAGGCGTCTGAGCAGGCGGCAGGAGGCCATGCAGCTGGAGAGGTCGGCAGGCGAGTGCAGGCACTCGAGCACCTTCACCAGCACGTCCTGCTCTAACTCCACCAGCACACCCATGCCCTGCCGCTCAACATGCTGCACATGCTGCTGCTCCTGCTGCTGCCACTCCTGCCCCTGCCCCTGCCCCTGCCCCTGTTTCTGCCCCTGCCTTTGCCCCTGCCCCTGCCCCTGCCCCTGTTTCTGCCCCTGCCTTTGCCCCTGCCCCTGCCCCTGCCCCTGTTGCCATCGCGGCTCCCCAACGCCTCCCCAGCCCTCTGCGCTCTCCTCACCGTCTTCTCGCTCCTCCCCCTCTTCTCGCTGCTCCTCCTCCTCGTCGTCCTCCTCCGCTCCACTCTCTCCCATGACCACCTCTCCTTCCTCCATCTCCATCCCCTCTGCTTCCCTTCTCCCGCTGCTGCTCCCTCCACCACTCCCTCCGCCATACCCACCCCCCTCAATCACCTTCGCCTTCCCTTTGTCTATAACTTTCCTCTCCACCCTCGCTTCATCCGCCTCCCCAGCCTCATCATGTACAGCCGTCCCCCGGAAACCCGTTTCTGGCTCTCCTACTGGCTCTGGCGCAGAAGTAGGCAGGACGGCCGCGGCGTGATCGTTCATCGGGTTGGCGTTGCACTGCAGCTGCAGCTGCTGCTGCTGCTGCTGCTGCTGCTGCTGGTCCGCCTGCTGCTGGTGCTGGTGCTGCTCCGCCTGTTGCGCCATATGCGCGGACCAGCGCGCGAGCAGGAAGGCTTTCACGGCGGTGGTGAGCCGATAGGGGCCCGCCAACATGGACGCGGGGACGGCACTCTGAGCGACGTTGCGGGCGACGCTGCGGGCGACGTTGCGGGCGACGCTGCGGGCGACGTTGCGGGCGACGCTGCCAAGAAAGGAGGACGACGGAGAATGGGGGGGGGGGGAGGGGGGAGGGGAGGGGAGGGGGGGGGGGAGAACAAATAACATGTGCATGCATGCCGGAAACCGATTGTCTGCCACACACATGCAAAGAACAGCAAATACGGCACGAGACGAGAGAAGTGAGACTACCGAAGCAGGAGCTGCGAGGAACAATACACTCTACTTGCTACGACTGTCCGTTCCGACAAGCGAAAGCACGTCACGATTCAAGACGTGTTCGACTGAGGGGAAGAACGTCACGGACGGTCGCGTGCGTTGGGGGCACGACGAGGGTCACGCGCGATTCGCAAACGGTTAGCATATGAACACTTAAAGTCTCACCGTTGACACGGAGATACAAGACGCTGGGGTATCGCCGCCGTCACCGCCGTCACCGCCGCTGAATGGACATAATACGCGCCCGCGAATAATGGAAAACACAACAGTTCTTTTCTTTTTCGCACTTGCTCGCGTCTGCTCTAGATCTGATCTGACTGGCTCACCCTGAACGAACTACTGAGGATGCGCATGCGCGTTATAACGAGATCCCCCAGCAGCCTCGCCACCCCCGGAAAGCTAGCACCTTCGAGAGGTGACAAGTCCGAGAGGTGACAACTCTTGTTTCGCCAATACCCGGGAGAAGTCGGCGCCTAAGAATCACTGAGTGCGCGCGGGGACTGAATCTGCATGGGTGTGGTCAGTTACTGGCCTGGCCTACCACGGATTTCAGTTCAGACTAGTGGAGGAATGACCATCGCCAGGCCAGGAGGAGCATCACACTAAACCGTGATACCTGGCGTGAGACAGTGCAACGGAGATCACGGACGGATTCACGGCCAAGTCCTGCAGGATGGTCATGCAACCTCAGTCCTGCGTGGCGTGCAAGTCTGAAACCAGATAGGGGTTTGACCATACGGCAAGTCACCTCATCGCGCTTGCGCGTTGCCCACACCTTGTTCCCTTCATGGCACCTTTGACCGACAAGTGACACGGTTCAGGAGAGATGAAGTATGCACTGTACAACTGATGTAGCATGAAACAATGTCTTAATGAATCATGATCCAAGTTGGTCGATAAGACTTTCCCCACAATCTTAGACGAATACTCTGAACAAAACACCAATTGGCAATGAAATATTAATGCTAGACAACTTGAAATCTATGTCTACGGGATGGTTGGTTCTCCAAATTGGCTTGTTAGTTTACTCTCCAACTTTGTACGTGTTACGATATGAAGTTTTATGAGAAGGCATTCCTGTATGCTGCAGGAGCCGACTCTACCGAGTACGAAGTCGAGGAGTCAGAAGAGTCGAAGCGACACAGCAACCGTCTGACCAAGACCGATGCAGGCAGAAACATTTGAAGTGAAAAGAGCGGGAACAGGTTTGAAACTGATTCCCGCGCCGCACGGTTTGAATTTCGCTGCAATAAGGGAATGTACCCCTTAGAGTACATGGCTAGTCTAGGTCGTTTCGCATTCCTTTGTATTTCTATATAAACCCAATGTATGCATGCTATTATCATCTCAGTCATTTACATTCACTCTGACCTGAGTTCACTACTTCCGCTGCGACACTACCTGCGATCAACCCTGAACGATCCTCTTCGCTAAGTCACACTTAAGATTGTAACATGGTATGAGAGCTGCTCATGGATTATTCGCAACGTCAACTCCGTAAAATTCGCCAAACCATGCCCAAGATGGCCGGAGGATCCGGAGGCCAAACAAATCTAACGGCCGAAGGACAAACCAACCCGGCTGCGACAAATGAAGCGACAACTACGATCGGCACTGCCGCGCTCGAGCAGTTATTCGCTCGACTGTCAACAATGGAGAAAGAACTCCAAGAACTGCGCAAAGGCGATGCGGGAACCACTTCCCAACCAGTTCAACCTGGACAACCGGCTGCGAAAAGCCGCGATACCGCCGCGCACGGCTTCTCCCTCGACTCAGACAAATCTGCAACAACTGCCCCTCGTCCAAGCGACGAAACCATCAACTCTGCGCAAGCACGCTTTCTAAGTGTGTCAAAGATCAAGACTACTGCCGCGTTTGACGGCAAGGATTTTTATACATGGAGTTTTGAGCTGGAGCTCCTCCTACAGACAGCGCAGATCTACCACTACTTCGACGGCTCCTATCCTAAACCGGTGGAAGACACCGAAGACGCCCGCGCTCAATACTACAGTGAGTCGCTCATGGCGTATAGCGTCCTGCTGCGCAACATGTCGCCAGCAGAACAGCTCGGCATTCGCTCCTACAAAGAGAGCGCCGCTCCGGCTCTTGAAGCTTGGAAGCACCTCGTGGAGGTATATCAGCCGAAGGATTCCGTCACTGCAAGCCGTCTCCTGCAACAACTCATGGAGACGAAGATGGGGCACGGGGAGAAAGCAAACAGTTACATCAACCGTTGTCGGAACATCCGTGATCAAATAAACAAGAATGGAAGTTCGATCTCGGAGGAGATATTCGTAAACATCATCCTCCAAGGACTTGGGCCTGAGTGGAAGCCCTGCAAGGCGCTACTCCGACAACGAGGCTAGCTCTCTGAAGCCGCGCTATGCGCCGCCCTGCTGACTGAGCAGCAGGACATGGACTCGAGCAGAACGAGTTCCGCGCCGCGGCGAGAGCGACTCGCCTTCTACACAGACAACCGTGAAGAGCGACGACAATTAAGGCGCCATTACTGCAAAATTTGCAAAGCCTTCGGGCATTCAACGGATCGATGCAAATCCCGATCCAACTATCGGCACCCGAATCCCACTCACCACAACAACTGGGTCAGCCGACAAGACGCTCGTCCACAACAACCAGTCTCCCGACCTCCTGCACAACAACAACAACCACAGCAGTCACAAGGACCTCAAGGAGGAGCTCCCAGAAACGTAATCGCAAACATGGCGACGCGACGCCGCCGCACTGCTGAGCCAGACGAAGAAGACGAACTTCAGGGAACACTGCCGCAACCAGAAGAAGGGTGGAACAACCCCCTTACGGAAGACCACTACTACCTGCACGACGAAGACGAGCAGGATTGGAATCAGCCAATCACACTGCGGAGAAGCCCGCCTCTCGACAATCAACTCTACGTACCTGTCGGATGGAAGGAAGATGAAGACCCGTCTTTTTACAGACGCTACAAGGCGACGCTGGTGACCCCGCGACTCGCGTTACTACTCCGCAACAACAACAACAAAGACAACTACAACACCTGGTACCTGGACAGCTGCTGCGGACAACACATGGTGGGGTCGACTCGCTACGTGTCAAACCTCAACCGAGCCCCCGCAACCTTCGTCACCGTTGCTAATAGCCACCAGCTGCGCACCAACTCCCAAGGCATTGTCGATCTGCAAGCACGAGACAGCAACACTCACATCTCGTTCAACGACGTGCTCTACGTCCCAGACCTGCGCTTTAATCTACTCTCGGCAGGACAACTTCGGGACTGCGGCGTCATACTCACCACCGACCTGGCCACGCGCGACCTCATCCTCACGTACGCCCCTCCGGACACACCTCCCGAGTCGTTTAAATACCTCGGTCGAGCCCGCTCAATCAACGGGATCTACGTTCTGGACTTCGACGTACCAAGCTGTGAAGCCTCGTCGGATGAGCTCGTGGACCTGGTCCCCCTCGAATTCGCCTTCATGAACGAAGAATCGTGGCAACATCCTGACGGGCGACCGTGGATTCGCCGCAGCCCACATCCGCGCGAAATCAATCTGCACAACCCCGACATCAACGGACTCTGCACCACCTGCCATACACCCGCTGCAAGCCGCACGGAACAAGTGGAGAGGGAATACGCGGCGATCCAGGAGGCAGAAAGCGCCGAGGAAGAACCAACTGGCATGACCGAAGAAGAACTCGCGGTATCAACTTACCGCATCTTCGGAGAAGAAAACAAGCAGTTCGGTCACCTGCCTGATCCGCGGCCCACACCACGTTCCGAAACTCTCCGATTCATCCTCGAGGCCAACGCCACCACCATAGACGAGGAAGGACGCCCGCGCCCGTACACCCGCGAAGTTTACCGTCGCGAAATTGACCCAGCCTGGAAAGACCCTGATGAGGCAGAGGAGTTAAGCGTCAAAGAGGAACAAGATAAGGTCAGGGCAGAGAAGAAACAAAAACTGTACGAAGAGCGCATCGCAGCAGGCTGGAGCGAGGAGTCTGCACGACGAGGTGGATGGGGAGACGATGACTATCAACCCGGGGAAGGCGCCACATGGGCATCAGCCACCGGAGCATGGGGATCCAGCGGCAGTGGCATGGCTACCACAGGAGGCTGGGGTACGGAAGAAACAGCCGAAGCAGATCTCACCCAAGAAGAACTGGAGGAAGTAGAACGAGAGATGCGCGCCGAACGCGGAGAGGAATCACCCCGCGTCACCATACCCCTCGGAAGACCACCACCAGCACGCTCACCCCCCCGGTCACCATGGCGCTGGGACAGTACCTGGACGGAGCTTGCCCGAGACTCCCTTGGTCCAATCTCCCGTCCAGATCCATTCGCCCGCTTCATCGAAGGAACAACCCCCCCGCTCACCGTCATCCCCGACCGCGAATTTCTCGCCCTCTACCTTTCGACCGCGTCTGCAGAAGGGGAGACAACCGCAGAAGAAGCAGAAGGAGCAGAAGACGAAACAGAACCAGGAGAAGAGGAGGAACCACCGCTCCAGATCCCACAAGAAACAGAGGAGGAAGCAGCAGAGCATCGCGCACGCTACATGCGCAGCAGCGGCATTCGCGCCGAAGACGACCTCTGGCACCAGCGACTCGGGCATCCCTCGCGCCAGACTCTCGCCAACTGCCTCCGCGCCAAGGTCTTCCCCCCAGGAGCACTTCTGCGCCCCGACGGCACCGAACCACACAACACCCCACACCCACTC